CATATTACGACTATCTTGCTAGCAAAAATTATATTTTATGTAACGCCCCGATTCTCAGGTATTGATTTTGTTATAAGATCTCTTTGAATTCAAGGTCTACTCGACGAGTTGGTTGCCTTGACTCGTCGAGTAGCAGCGGGTTGGTCCACGTGTTTAAGTGACCTACTCGCCGAGTCCGAGGAGGGACTCGACGAGTAGGAGCTGGAGGATGAAACCCTAATTTCCGGGGTTTTTCACCCTATTTAAGGGATCATTTGGCCTCCTCATCCTCACCTCTACAGTCCCTTGTCATCTCAAACCCTAACTTCGTGTGTGTGTGCTTTCTTGGTGTTATAAGCTTAAAGAAGGATTTTGGTGGGAAAACACTTGAGGAAAACAAGTAAGCTGAAGCAAGGAATTCGTGGGGAACCAGAGAACTAATTATCTGAGTACTCTTTTGAAGGTATCCGACTGTTATATGGCTCATTTCTTCTTAGATCCCTTTTGGATGTTCTATTAGGAAGCTATTCGGGTGTTGGAGCTAAGATCTGAAGTTGCAAACTTCAGATCTGAACTTTCTTTGGTCTCTAAGGCCATAAAGTTGCCAGCTTTGACAAGTATGGACCTCCCCTCAAGTGTTAGACCTCATTGCAAACTTGGTTTTGTCATTTTAGAGCTTTAAAGCTTTGCATGCACGTAAAGTTTGCAACTTTACGTGATAAACATGCCCTAGGAGCTTAGATCTGCAATATGGAGCCTTTGCATGGCTTAGAAAGCACCTGTATGGGTGAAGGACTGAAGGGACTCGGCGAGTTGCATGGTCGACTCGGCGAGTCACATGAAGATGGTCCTGCACTCGACGAGTTGGATGAACAACTCGGCGAGTCCGATGAAGATTGTCGTAAACTCGGCGAGTCAGTAGAGTGACTCGGCGAGTCTGTTAGGGTTTTCCCAACCTTCGGACACGTGTGAGCACGGCGAGTTGTAAAGGGAAAACTCGGCGAGTGGGCCAAGGAATCACGACCACTGACACTCGGAACTCGACGAGTCACCAAAGTGACTCGGCGAGTCATGCCAGGAACTCGGCGAGTAGCTAAGGGTACTCGACGAGTTGAGGTCAACATGGACTGCTGACCTTGACAGTTGACTTTGACTTTGAGCAATGGTTGACCAGTTGACTTCTGAAGGGGGTATCTTGGGAATTTATGAACCTTGTGATGTGTCGGATATAGGTGGTGGAGTTTGTGGTGGTGATCCGGGAGTTGAGCTTTCTAGTTTCAGACGACAGTTGCGAGGTGAGTTCTCCTCACTATATCAATAGGGTTTACGGCACCAAGGTCGGCCCTTTATGATTGCATCCTGGTTTTAGGATGTTGCTATGCTATGTGATCTGTTAGATCCATATGATTATCTGTACATATGTTAGTGACCTGGTTAGGTCGGTATCCTGGTTATAGGATGTTGCTATGCTATGTGATCTGTTAGATCGATTTGCCGTTATGTATGCTAGCGTATGATATGTATGTGCACATGTTTGTTTGATTGGGGGTTTGGGTTGAGGCGGTCCTGCTTTGTGCTGAAGGCCAACATACCCAGGGTGGTCCGGATAGACTACAGACCCAGGAGGGTATGATAGTCAGACTGAAGGCCCAGCGAGTGGTCCGGATAGGTTGAAGGCCCTGCGAGGCGGTCCAGACGTGCCGAAGGCTTGGAGAGCGGTCCAGATAGACTGAAGGCCTGCGAGGCAGTCCAGTCAGGCTGAAGGCCCATTATGCATGTTGTTCTGTGTTTGTTTATATGATATGATTATGGTTATGAGGTTGGTATTTTTGGGGTAACTCACTAAGCCTTCGAGCTTACATCTATCGATTATTGTTTCAGGTACTTCTGGTGACCGCGGGAAGGCGAAGGCATGATCGTACCGCTCCTCCTGTCATTACGATTTCATGTTTTGATACTGGGATACTCTGATAGTTATTATTTTGAAAACGAATTTTGTAAATGATAATTGTTTAAATGTTTTGAAAAGTTGGTGTTTCTAAGAGCTTAACACACAACACAAGTGTGTAAACAAGAAGTTCTTGACTTAGATATGTATAGAAATCACTTAAGTTTACAAGGAACTTACCAAGCTTATGAGTTGTTTGAATAAAGTCTTGAGGATGGCACCACACACCTACAAAATTTTGAGAGGAAATGAAGGAGTCTTGAGAGCAAATGAGTAAAAATGTTTGAAGTGTGTATGTGGGAGGGTGAGGGTCGGGCGATGGATAAGAGAGAGGAGGGGGAAAGAAGTTGGCTTTCTTTAAAGTTGATGGGATATGCATGGCTATATGAAGGTCCAAAGCATAGGTGTATGTTGGGTAATAAGGAGGTGGCAAGGTATTTTCCTTATCATTTTCCTTTTTTTTGGTCAAACTCCAACCGACCCCATATGGTTCTCGGTCCAAAGTGGCCCAAAAAGAGTGGGTTTCGATTTTTGGCTTGGCCCAATAGGGGTTTATGGTCCATTAAAACCTAAAGAAAAAGGCTTTCGGCCCAATGAGGCCCAAAGGAAAGCTCTCGGCCCAATAAGGCCTAAAGAAAAGGTTATTGGGCTGGGCTTTTGTATTTAGGTCTTAGTATGTATATTGTATTGAGTCAGCCGTGTATGGAGTCAGAAGCAAGACACACTGGTTAGTGATTCTAAGGAGCATATTTCGTGTATTAGAGAGACAGAGAGAGAACCGAGAGCATTGTGTAAATCTTATGTATCAGACTATCACAAGTGATAGCCGATCAAAAGGGTTATGGTGAATACAAACAACAAGTTTGATGGTATATTGGATTAAAAAAAAGAAATGGAACAAATGTGAACAAACTCAAGAGTTGATTACCCTTCCAAGTCATAATTCATATTTTATCAAACAAGAACAATTTATTTAGTTGAAAATAATTTAGTCATTTTATCATTTAACACAGCTATTCAAATGCCTAACAAAACACATATTTTTATTTAAAAGCATATTAATTTAGAGCCTCTTAGTGATTAAAATCTGAATCATTCGGATGTTCTCAAATAACGATTAATAAGGTTACAAAATCAAAACTTACTCGATAAGCCCATAGGCGGAAAGTAGGCACAATACTAAACTAAAAATCATTTGAACTGCTAAAGCTTTTGTTAAAAAAAAGTTTGAAAAATGAAAATGATTTTCTGGGTAAACAACAAAAGATGTAATGAATAATTCTGTAACGTCCCAAAAATGTGATCCAAAAATTTCATTTTTAATTTAAATAAAAAGTATTCCAAAAACATTATCCATACAACCCAAATGAAAATAAGTATATCAACAATCAGAGTGATATCTCAAAAGCGAAATCTATGTGGTGTGTGCGATGCAGTCAACCTGAGCTCTTCCCCTTGGAACCGAAAGTACCTGAAACATAAACTAAAAACCGTAAGCACAAAGCTTAGTGAGTTCCCCAAGATATTGCATACCAAACATATAACACATAACGAGCCTCGCCCAAAGAGTATAACGGGCCCCGCACTAACTTGCATAACGGGCCCCACCCTAACTCACATAACGGGCCCCGCCCAATTAGTATAACGGGCCCCGCCCTAACTCACATAACGGACCCCACCCACATACGATTCAAACTACATACAAGTAATAACATACATGATAATCAACGGGCCCCACCCAGTAAGCATACAAGGACATTCACATATTAGTGTCACACAGACAATGAGTATTCTAACATAACAAATCATGGGTCGGCATTGGTGCCTTTGACCCGCTACATATGGTGATGAAACTCACCTCGCACTGCTGAATCACACTGATAATCCCTGCTGCTGGTCCAATAAATCCCCGAGCTATCAATAACAAATAACACCCAATTAATAATTTGAGTCAAGTCTATATCCTTCAATCCGCACCTAGGGTAAAAAGACCATTTTACCTAGTTTGGTCCAAGACTAAAGTCCAAACTCTCAATCTAAAAGGCCCAAAAACCCATTATCCATCCAAGGCCCATATATGGCCCAATTTTCCGAATTTAGCCCAAATCTCTACATGGGCCTTACCCTAAGGCCCAACAAGTTTCCTAGTCCAAAATACCTGTATTTAGGCGACCTAACAATGCCCCAAGCAATAAAGCCCAAAAGATAGCCCAAACCCGAAGCCCAAACATGCGAGGCTCAATAGACCGAGTACGCGGGGGCATACTCAGCACGTACACGCAACGTACTCACTTGAAGGCTTGTACGCTAAGCGTAACTGCTTGTGCGCCCAACATACTCACCATATTCAGCCAAAACTCGATTTTAACACTTAACCCCTTAAGACAAAGCTCCAAAACATAGATCCAACTCCCTTGAGTTGGAAAATCATGTAAAGTTGCTAACTTTACGTGCATGAATGGCTAAATGAAGCTCTTAAGTTTAAAATGGACTTAATGCATGCATAGGGCCAAGAGTCCCATAAAGCTTGCATCTTTATGCTAAAGGAGACCATATCAAGCTCAGATCCAAAAGAACAATCCCATAAAACGACTTAACTCTTCAAACAACCCAAAGAGGAGCTAAAAGCATAACAAAACAAACTATGAGGAGATCTAATCATCTAAAAGCCAAGGTATGAACTTGATACCTCAAAGAGATTGCAACAAGTGGAATGATTCTGGATCTATGCCATTCCTTCCAAGCTAAGCACCTTCAATCTTCAAAACTTCCTTCAAAATGAGTACGCTAAATGTACCAAGTGATACGCCCTGCGTACTTGCTTGAAAGCTTGTATGCTAAGCGTAACAAATGGTACGTCCCATGTACTGCCCAATGACCAAAATGCGAATCTTTTTAACAACAAGACAATAAAGAAACATACCTAGATTTTAAGTGTTACAAATTCTTTAATATGTACACATGTATGTAGATACAGAGTATCTTTTTTTATTTTATTTTATTTTTTATTTTTTTTTCTAAATAAAAAAATAAAAATTGATTGGTTATATGAATACGAGTATACAACCAACATCTCACCCATTCACTCAACAACGCCTTCCTTCTCGAACGACAATACCCAAGCTCTCAACTCCACCTCGTTGTCTCCGCCAACCTCCTTGTCTCTTCTTCCTATATCTACTCTGCTATCTACTTTCCAAAATTTCACACCATTAACGGACTTCCCAATTTGGAAATTTGCTCGGCTACAATGGCACAATCTTTGAATTTCTTCGTATCATCTTCCCGTTCACCGGACTTTACAATCTCCACCAATTCCTACTCAAAACCCATGCTCCAAACCCCCAATCGCTTCTTGTCATTCACAAAATCCCCCCGCAAACCGCTCGTTTTGGTATCCGCCTCCGCCGACAACGGACAAGGGGGTTTATCTGCCGTGACGGCGGATTTCGTTAGTGATAATGGGACTAAACCAATAACTATTGCACAACCTGATTCGAGTTCGATTGAAGTGGATTCGGTGACGGAGGCGGAGTTGAAGGAGAATGGATTCCGGAGTACTCGAAGAACGAAACTTGTGTGCACGATCGGACCCGCCACTTGCGGGTTTGAGCAGCTGGAGGCGTTGGCCGTCGGAGGGATGAACGTGGCGAGGATTAATATGTGCCATGGGACGCGTGAGTGGCACAAGACTGTGATCGAACGAGTGAGGAGGTTGAATGAGGAGAAAGGGTATGCTGTTGCTATCATGATGGATACCGAAGGAAGTGAGATTCATATGGGGGATCTCGGTGGTGCTTCATCGGCAAAAGCTGAGGTATTCAATTACTCTTTTCTTGCATAATAAAAATCACTTCAAGCAACAATCAATTTGGTTATGAGTTATGCAGGATGGAGAAGTATGGACATTCAGTGTACGAGCATACGATTCCCTTCGCCCTGAGCGATCCATCACTGTGAACTATGATGGATTTGCAGAAGGTATTATGAAAGATCATATATTCTAATCATAATGTCTGTAAGACAAGTTAATATCTTTTTAATTGCAATTGATTTTCCACATGATGACAGATGTGAAAGTGGGAGATGAACTTCTTGTTGATGGAGGAATGGTGAGGTTTGAGGTGATTGAAAAAATCGGTCCAGATGTCAAGTGTTTGTGTACTGATCCAGGACTTCTGTTACCAAGGGCAAACTTGACATTTTGGCGTGATGGAAGCTTAGTTCGTGAACGTAATGCCATGCTTCCAACAATTTCCTCAAAGGTTTGTGCTTTTATATAATGTTACTCTTTGGTTTTTTGAGCTACTTGGAGAGTTTTGACATTTTTGCCCTTAGTTTAAACCCAATTAAGTTTTGTTAACCCCAAGACCTTATATTCTACTTTTACCCTTGACATTTGTTTTCATACCGATCTTCCTATTTCTTCAAATGCTACAAAGACATCTTATTTGACAAAAGTTTCACACTTTTGATACTGATCTTCTTATGAGCACCTATTTCTTCAAATGTACTTTATTTGGTTAAATTGAAACTTAGAGTGTTTAAATCTTTGCATTAAGTTAATAATATTGTTTGAATGTTTTGTAATTGTGGGTTTAGGATTGGTTGGATATAGATTTTGGGATTGCAGAAGGTGTTGATTTTATTGCAGTATCATTTGTCAAATCAGCAGAAGTGATTAATCATCTTAAGAGTTACATCAAAGCTCGATCTCGTGATGGGTAAGAAACAAAATCATTCATTTTTTTTTTTTTTTTTATGTTCTTTAATGGGTCCCACAATTTACTTTTTATTTTTTGCCCATAAAAGCAATGCACTTACATTTCCTTTACTAATGATAACAATGTACTTTATTTGTTACGTATTTACCCATCTTACCTGTTTCATTTTTTCGCGTCATCTAACCAAGTTTCTACAATTTACACTTTTAACCCATTTGACAAATTCTTTACAATATAACTCATTTACAGGGACATAGCAGTACTTGCAAAGATCGAAAGCATCGACTCACTAAAAAACTTAAAAGAAATCATCCAAGCTTCAGATGGAGCCATGGTAGCACGTGGTGACCTTGGTGCTCAAATCCCATTAGAACAAGTCCCATTAGCCCAACAAAAAATAGTTGAAACATGCAGAAAATTAAACAAACCAGTAATTGTAGCTTCACAGCTACTTGAATCCATGATTGAGTATCCAACACCTACTCGAGCTGAAGTTGCTGATGTGTCAGAAGCTGTGAGACAACGTGCTGATGCACTCATGTTGTCTGGTGAGTCAGCAATGGGTCAGTTTCCTGATAAGGCTTTGACTGTTTTGAGAAGTGTGAGTTTGAGGATTGAAAAATGGTGGAGGGAAGAGAAACGACATGAAGTTATGGAGTTGCCTGATATTGCTTCTTCTTTTTCGGATAGTATTTCGGAAGAGATTTGTAATTCAGCTGCAAAAATGGGTGAGAATTCTTCAATCTTGAAACAAATTTTTTTTATAAGAGTAAATTACTGAAATCGTACCTATGGTTTGGTCAAAATTGCATGTTTGGTCCCTAACTTTATGTATGTAAGGGACGAAAAACGCAACAAAATCAAACCACAGGGACGATCCGAGTGCAAAAAAAAAGTTAGGGACCAAACTTGCAATTTTGACCAAACCATAGGGACGATTTCAGTAATTTACTCTTTTTATAATTAAATTTATATGTACTTCCTAAAAATAGCATATCACTTTTTGAAATGGCTTCTTGTTTCTCTACATGTGTTGATGAGAAGCTATTTCAGGAAGCAAGATGCTATTTTTAGAGTACATATGATGATGTCATGTGTGTAGATGAGAAGTCATGTTAGTTTTAACATATAAAGGGGGAAATTTTCGATAAAGTCCCGATATTTTGAGTCAGTTTATGGTTTAATCCCAACATTTATTTTTTGAAAAAGTCCTGATTATCTAATTTTATACGATAATCTGTCATTTTCTGTTAAAAAAAAATGACTGTTTCGTGAATTTGGGCAAAATATAAAATAATCGAGACTTTTCTGTTGAAAAAATAAAAGTTGGGATTAAACGCCAAAAAAATTTAGGATTTTATCGGAGATTTCCCTATAAAGGGGAGAAAATATAGTGGTTTTTTATGTGTATTGCCCTTTTTAGTATGATAATTGCTATGATGTTTTTTTGTTTTTGGTTAATTAAGTGTTGTTTGGATAAATGATGTTTAAAAGATATTTGAGAAAATGAAGGGACACTTGGGGAAATTGAAGGAAAAGTAAACGAGGGGAAATTTGTAAAAAAGTTGGGAGTTAAAGAAAAAAATGATTTTCTGTATTAAGTTGTTCTTTTTGTATGAAGTAAAAGAAAACTCAAGTATAGCTTATGAGATTAAGAGGTTGTTTCTTTGACTTAATGGATTAAGCACTTAATCTGCATGACTATACATGGTGTTTCCTTTTGAATTTATCTGAACATAATGACTTAATGGGTTAAGCCAAAAAACATGGCTTAATGTATTAAGACAATAATTTTGTACTAATGTTTTTCTTCCATTTCCCCAAATGTGTTTGTGTTGTTATTTTCTTAAATATTTATCCATGTTGTTAATAGTCATACAAATCAAGTAATTTTGTATTATTTGATGATTTTACAGCTAATAATCTCGAAGTGGATGCGCTATTTGTGTACACAAAAGACGGGCACATGGCATCTCTCCTTTCCCGGTCCCGCCCGGACTGCCCGATTTTCGCGTTCACAACCGATACTTCGGTCAGAAGACGTCTAAATCTACAATGGGGTTTAATACCATTTCGCCTTGGTTTCTCGGATGACATGGAAAGCAATCTCAACAAAACTTTTTCTCTACTCAAAGCTCGAGGCATGATCAAATCGGGTGATCTTGTTATTGCGGTTTCAGACATGTTGCAATCGATTCAAGTTATGAATGTACCATAAGGAAAAACTTGTGTTGACTAGGGTTTTTGTGATCTATCTTGATGCCGAAAAGTCTTAAAGATTGTGTTTTGTTAGAAGTTTGTATTTGCGTTTTGTTATGTTGAACTTATGGACTTTGTAATTTGTTGGATTTGTTTTCGGTTTAATGAGAAGGTTGTTTGGTAGATTGAGGGGATGTCTTTCTAATGTAGTAAATGGTTGTTGTACTGTGTTTGATATTACTGTATTATGTGAATGTGATAAAAATTGTAATTTTTATCTCATCCAGTAGAGGCAGGAGGCTTCAATTTTGATAATTGATATGTTGTATGTGCAAAAGACGTGAAAAAAAGACGTGAATGTGATAACTCTGTCTCCGAAAATAGTCCACTTGTGTCCCAGTATTTAGTATTTTGAAGAATTTTTTTTTTGTGTAGTAGGTAAATAAGTAATGCATATATGCATATAGTAACAAGTAAATAACTAAATAAATAAATAAGTAAAAAGACAAACTGCATAAACGGCCAAACGGGTAATTTACTTGATCAATTTCTTATTGCAGGTAATGTATTTCTTTAGCTTGAATAAAATGTCTCATGTTCTAAAATTATTTATTTATTCTTGATTTAAGGTAATTTTTACGCATTATATATATATATATATATATATATATATATATATATATATATATATATATATATATTCCCTTTATACTTTTACCACTTTATTTTTACTTCTTTATAAATTTACCACTAAAGTTTCAACAAACTATTCCTCTTTATAACTTTGCCACTATATTTTTACTTCTTTATATTTTTGTCACTAAACTTTCATTTTTACTTATTTACAACCCCTTTTCTTTATTCTTTATCATTTTTGTCTACCGTATTCTTCTATCTTTTATTTTTTTTTAAAAGATTCAGTTGTGACTTTTCTCACATGTTTTTTTATATTTTTCTCAAAAGTGCTCCGTTTCTTTAATCCATTTACAGTTTTGTCTTCTATTTTTCAACGTTATTCTATTTTGATACTTTCTTTTCTTCTATTATCAACCCGAACTTTTTAACATTCAGACTTTCGTCACATGTTTTCTAAAAAGTTGCTAAATTAAATCAATTTTCTTTATTCTTTGTAATTTTCGTCTATCATATTCTTCTACCTTTTATTTTATTTTTATTTTATTTTTTTCTAAAAAGAATGACCCGTACAACGCACGAGCCTTTTCCTAGTTTAGATTAAAAGTGAGGTCTTGGTCTTTGTGCAATTCAAGGAACTGTATGAATAAAACCATGTCAATACTAAATATTTGACAGGTTTTTTAGATCCAAGTTATTTTAGATCAATATTTTTTTTAAGATAAATAAAATGGGCTAAATGTTCTGTAAAGAATAAAGTTATATATGCTATGAGCCCAAATTGAGCCAATTGGTTTAGATACTATCTTCTTTTGGGTTAACCTTTTCGGCTTTATAATTAGTACAATACTATAATATGTACCCATCATCTACTCTATACCATTACTCTATTATATTACTCTATTATAATAAAATATATGACGCTTAGTAACAGTTAGGCTTACACACTTTAGGGTTTGGCCACATGAATTTAGGGGTTTGACATTTTTCGTCCTTGGATTGGAGTTTTACAGTTTTACTCCCTCGATTCCTGATGACTCATCACTTATAACTCTTGGGGTTTTGCCATGTGTTGCGTTCGTTTTGGGTCCACATGTATTTGGTGTTTGGGTTTACTTTCGGATATGCAGCTTTTTTTTTTCCGTCTCCAGGTTTCCTCTCCGATGTCGTTTCGTCTTCTATATCATGTCAATTAGGGATCTAAATGGGTCCAAACCCGGACTGGACGAACCCAGAACTAGTTAACGGGATTTTGTAGACCGAAATCTGGACCAATATATAAGAATCGGTTCCGGGTAAAGTGGGTCTATAACCGGAAAATCCGGAAACATCAAAGTGGGTAGGGTGGAACCGTGTAAAGTGGGTTCAGAACCGAAAAACCAGAATTTTTTGTAATTACTTAATGGGTTGAACTTTGAACAATTCTATATTGATATCCCGACTTTGGGGGACTATAAGTCATTGAATATGAAACCAAAATTGACAAAATTATAGTCTAAAATCATTTACAATCTCTAAACTACACTCTGGAGAAAACCGCATGCCAATCTGACTTTAAAAAATGAGATATGCATGTTTTAAAATTTTCATAGAATACAAAGTACAAAAACAAATAGTTGAAATTTTTTTCAGCTTTGATATCTTGACTTCAGGGGACTGTAAGTCATTGAATATTAAACCAACAATGACAAAATTATATTTTAAAATTGGAAGAAACTGCACGTCCATCCGACTTCAAACGAATTAGATATGTATGTTTTAACATTTTCAAGAATATAAAAAGAGCTAAAAAACTGAAAACTTTCAGCTTTGATAACCTGACTTAGGGGACTATAACTTATTGAATATTAAACCAAAAATAAGAAAATTATAGTCTAAACTCATGTAAAAACTCTAAACTACAAGTTGGAAAAAACTTAATGGCAATCCGACTTCAAACAAATTAGATATGTATGTTTTAACATTTTCACAGAATACAAAAATAGCTGAAAAACTAAAAACTTTCAGCTTTGATATATTGACTTTGGGGGACTGTAAGTCAATGAATATAAAACTAAAAATGACAAATTTATAGTCTAAAATCAGGTACAGACTCTAAACTACACGTGGAAAAAAACCGCATGTCAATCTGACTTCAAATGAATAAGATATGCATGCTTTAAATTTTTCATAGAAACCGATTCCAGTCCCTAAGTGGCTTCGATTCCTAACATCGGTTTCGTTCTTAAATCCGGTGTACTCGGACCCGACAGACCCAAACCCGGATTACCTGGGACCCAGATAAAGCCATTATTTAGACCCGGAACCCGGATCGGTTCTATATATTTTGGTTTTAACGGTTCTGATTCCTGTCCGATTCCGGTTCCAGTCCAATTTTCCGGTTTTAAATTTCATCCCTAGTTTGAATGACTCGAACTATATCCCAACTTTCCACCCTGCATATTTACACAATAAAATTTAGTTAAAGTCTTATATATAATCAGATCCAACACAAAATCCAAAAGAACTTAGTATATGATATATTAATCAATAATATAACTCTTTAAAGTATGTTGTTATTTCTTGCGTTTTAACCAAAAAAAGTATGCTGCTATTTCTTGCATTTTATGGATTTTTCAAGTCAAATAAATTAGGGAGAATTTCATATAGCCCTTATTAAACATCAAAATATCATATTGTCCAATCTAATTTTTAAATATCATATTTACCCTTCATAAAATTTCAAAATATAATATTTGCCCAAATTTTTATTTTTAACATTTTATAATCAATTTAGATAATTATATTTAACAATTGGCTATTATACCCCTTATAAGTCTAAATTCAAAACATCATTTATATTTATATTGCTTAAATTGACAATTTAAAACAACTATAACAACAAATTATTAGTAATCGACATTCACAGTCATCGATGTATAATTAACGATGCGAAACACCTAAAACAACAAATTGAACCTTAAGTTAAGTTAAAAACACCTATTTAAAACAATCGACTGGAAAAAAATTGGCCACTTGACAAAAAAAAGTAAGGAAGTAATAAGAATTTGATAATTATATGATAAAGCATATTGATAATTTTTTTTTTGCCTATTACCGGAGAATTGCCTTGTGCTCATCAACATTATGGTTTTTACGTTTATTACTTGCCACGTGCTGGATTTCTACATACCATGATATGTGCTTTAATTAACCATATACTATATTCTAATACTCTGCAATATAATATTTAAAAATATATATACATATACCATAAAGCTCGCCACATTATCAACAAAGAGAGGATTTATATGGTGGCCATTGTATTTGTTTTGGGGGTCGGATCCGAGGATGACTTGAAACAGAGAGACATAGGATTTTCTTTGAGAGATACAGTGATAGATTTTGGGATTTATTTTAAATTACTAAGGGTATAATTGTAAACTAATAGAGTAAATTACACGAATGACCCCTATGGTTTGGGGTAATGTGCACGTTTGGTCCCTAACTTATTTTTTTAACTCGGAAGATCCCTATTGTTTGTTTTTGTTACGTGCTTGGTCCCTATTGTTTGTTTTTGTGACGTGTTTGGTCCCTGTCTTACCTAAAAAGACTATTATTTAAATAGAGAAAAATGGTGAAGTAGGTAAGGTTAGGTGAGGGGGGGGGGTGAGGTTGTGAGTGTGTTTATTTAAATAAATAAAAAAATCAATGGCAAAATAGTCTTTTTAGGTAAGATAGGGACCAAATGTGTAACAAAAACAAACAATAGGGACCTTCCGAGTTAAAAAAATAAGTTAGGGACCAAAACGCAAATTGTCCTAAACCATAGGGACCATTCGTGTAATTTACTAAAACTAATAAAACATAATAATTCAAAATGGCTATAAATCATTTTATAATTGTTAAAAATAAAAATTTGGGCAAATATGATATTTTAAGGTTTATGAAGGATAAATATGATATTTAAAGTTTAGGTTGGACAAATATGATATTTTGATGTTTAATAAGGGTATATACGAAATTCACCCAATAAATTAAGTATGCTACTATTTCCCAAAGAGCTTGAGGTTACAAATGGAAACTCAGTATTCCTAGTGGCAAGATGGCATTAAAGTAATCCACTGAAAGGAACACTTTTTTCCTATCTTTAGGTTTTTAAATCATAAAATTAAACAACCAGTAAGAAAGTTACTGTACAGAAATGCATAGAAAATTTAACGTCCCATTTTCACATCAAAATTTTTCATTTTTAATTAAGATAAAAATGCTCATTTTTAGAATACAAGTTAAGAAAACCATTAGTTCCAAGGTACATTGTTTAAAATTAGAGTATTATAGTAAACACATAATCTTCATTGCTATAGATGAATGTGTACAGTCACGCCTTCACCTTCCCACGATAACCGATGATACACGAAAACAATAACAGCTGGGTAAGCATGAAGCTTAGTGAGTTTCCCCAAAATATCGCACACTACAAAACATATACAAGCATGCATAATGGGCCCACAATCACCAGACTGGATTGCCCCGGGTATGTTGGCCTGCCGCCTCAACCCAACCACTCCTTCCGAGCTTCCGTGCCTACGACTTACAACCATCCCCCAC